TTGATCATAACAACAGCATCTAGCCTCTGCCCAGGGAGACAAGCCCAGGCGCCCCTATGCAAAGAATTCTTACAACTAATAAGAAGACAGACAATGGGATCTAAAAATGGTAAATGATTTGAATAGATATTCTTTCAAAAATATAAATGGAAAGCAATACAATTGTGAAAAGATGTTCAACATCATTATTCATCAAGGAAAAAACTATAATAAGACATCAATACACATGACAGAATGGCTACACTCAAAGACATAAAGTTACAAATGTTGGCAAGGCTGTAGTGTTTCCATAGTGCTGGTGGGAGTGTAAGATGGTCCTTTGGAAATGTTGTGTTAGTTGCAGCCTCTACAGGATCTAATTTTTTAAATGTTAGGAAATTTTTAAAATGTTAGACAAATGTTATTGAATGATTTGACAATTCCACTCCTATGCATCCTCTTAGAAATGAAAACATATTTCCGTACAAAGACTTGCATACAAATATTCATGGGAGCCTTATCAATAGCCAAAAAAGTGAGAGCAACCCAAATATCCATTGATGGGTAAATGGATAAATAAAATTGGTAGGGCCATAAAATGAAATACTATTCAGCAATAAAAAGCAACCAAAACAACTGTATCCTGTAACAAAGACGAACCTCAAAAGTGTCATGATTATTGGGAGGCTGAAGCAAGAGGATCGCGGAGTTCAAAATCAGCCTTAGCAAGGCCTAAGCAGCTCAGTGAGACCCTGTTTCTGAATAAAATACAAAAAGGGCTGGGGATGCGGCTCAGTGCTTGAGTGCCCCTGAGCTCAATCCCTGGTACCTCCCCATGCCCCACAAAAAGAAAGAAAAAGCCAGATACAGAAAACTACACCATGTCTGATTTGAATGTCCGAGAAAAGAAAACCTATAGAGATGGAAATAATATTCCTGGTTGCCTAGGGTCAGGGGAGAGGAATAGAATTTACTGCAAATAACCATGAGGAATCTGGGGGGTGGGTGCTATGAGAATGTTCTAAGCTAGTGGCAGTTGCACAAACCTGCACATTTACAAAACAAATAAAAAACAACAAAAACCCCCACTGAATTGTACACTTAAAACAGGTGAATTCTACAGCAAGTAAGCCAAACCTCCAGGAAAGCTATTAAAAACTAAAAGTGGGTGCCCCAATAGTTGAGCAGACTCGTTGAAGAGTAAGCCAATGAGCCACATTCTCTTTCTGGAATGCAGGGGAAAGTATAGAAAATGTGAAAGACAAAGATACACTGCGTAAGATGCTTCAGCATTCCACAAACGGGAATTTCAGGAGAGAATAGAAAGTACAAAAATAAGGAAATCAAATAAAAACAAAGAAACAAATTCCCCAGAATGAAAAGACCCAAGACCAGCAGAGGGCCCGGCATCAGCAAGATGGCAGAAGAGGAAGTCTCTGGCTTTAGTTACCCTCACAGGAAGATCAACTAGCAGCTATCCACAGGAAAGACCTGGGCTGTGGGCTGAACCAACCCCTTTGACTAGAGGAAAACACTAGCTGGTTGGGAGGAGCAGTCTCGTGTAGACTCCGGTGCTTCCTCCCCGGGCTGCCTTGGTTCCTTCCAACAGGGGACTCGTGGGCTAAGGTTTCTTCAGTGGGTAAAACAGAGCCCGAGGAGGACATCTAGCTCCCCCAGAATGCTGAGGTGCTTCCAGGGAGGTCATTCCTGTCTTGCCCAGTGGGGGGTTCTGGAGGAATCAACAGGCTAGACCACTGGGGTCATTCAGAAACAGAGGGCGCAGGCATCCCATTTTGGTGACAGCACCAGGTCCTGCCATCAGAGGCACTCCTCTACCAGAAAGCCCTTCAGTGGCTCTGCCCACCTGTAGAGCCACACTTGTGACTGTCCAGGGAGCATGCTCAGCAGTTCTGCCCAGATTAGGTTCCTAGCCAGCAGTCTAGCCCGGCCGGAGCAGGCAGCCAGGCTTGGGACCCGCCTAATTTCAGAAGATAGCCTCTGGGTCCACCCAACTAAGCAGACCAATAACAGCCCCATCCAGCCTCAGAGCACAGCCCATGGCATCACCTGGGCCAGGAGCCAAGCTGGCAACCTGCCTGCATAGGAAGTAGACCAGAGAGCCCCAACACTGACCCTGCACTTTGCCATAACCCAGCCCACAGCCTTTCCTGGGCAGGGAGCCAAGCTGGCAACCTGCCTGCATAGGAAGTAGACCAGAGAAGCCAATCAGTGACCATGTCCAGCCTCAGAACCCAGCCTATGCCCGTGCCTGGACAAGTAAACAAACCAATGACTGTGCCCAACAGCAGAGCACAGCCTCTCGTTCCCCAAACCAAAGAGCACAGACTGTGAACTCGTCCATCCTCAGAGGCCAGCCTGTGAACTGCACAGCAAGAAACCAACCCAGCAACTCCTTCCCAGGTGGGGTGCAGCATGGGCCCCTACCCGAGCCAAGCCTGCATCCCTGTCTGGACGCTGAGCACAGCCTGCAGTCATGCTCTGGCAGGGAGCTCAGCCCATGATCCTGCCCCATTTAGAAGCATGACCTAGAGCCCCACTCAATGACGTAGCCCAGCCTGTGACCACACACAAACGTTGGGCAGAGCTTTCAGCATTGTCTGACCAGGAGGCCTGGAGAGTGACACCATCTGACTAAGGAGCCCATGTAGCAAGCACACGTTGTGGGTTACAGTGAGTGGTGCTCCCCAGACAGGGCTGAGAGTAACCCCAACTGATCTCCGAGCACGGCCAGCTGCCCCAGTGCAAAGGGGAACCCAGCCAAGGATTCCGCCCAGGTGTGAAGCTCTGACTGCGAACACACCTGATTACAGGGCCCAGCCCTGGCCCTTCCCCACACCAGAGCAAAAGCAAACCTACAAAGACCCGAAGAGGTTACTGCTGCCTTAAATGTTCAGGCATTTATGCAAGGGTCTAAGGACATAAGGATCATGAATAATGAGAAAAAAGGACAGCACCTAAGGAAACAAACTCCAGGAATGAACTGACTCACAAAGAATTCAGAATAATCTTCAGTGACCTAAAAGAAGGCACAGAAGGAAAACAATACATGAACAAAATGATAACTTTAACAAAGAAACAGAAGTCATTTTTTTAAAACCCTAGAGCTAAGAATACAGTGACTGAAAAAGAAAATGTCTCAAGAGCTCCAACAGCAGACTCAGTTGAACAAAGGGAATTATCTGAACTTGAAGACGGGTCACTTGAAATCGTCCAGCCACAGGAGGATAAAGAAAAAAATAACAATTTCTCATAAATCCTATTGGACTTATGAAACACCATCAGGTAAAACAATATACACATTATGGGAGGTCCAGAAGGAGAAGAGAGAAAGAGAGAGGGGGAGAGAGAGAAGGGGAGGGAGGGAGGGAGGAAGGGAGAGACAGAGAGAGACATCAATCTCTTTAAAAAAAATAATCATCTCATAATGTATACAAATATCATAGCATCACGAGGTACTCCATAAATATATAATGATTTGTCAACTTAAAACAAATAGTAAATAATGGCTTGAAATTTCCTAAATTTGGGGAAAGAAATGGACATCCAGACTCAAGAGGTCCAAAGGTCTCAAAACAGGAAGAACCCCAAATGTCTACACAGAGAACACTAAAATGGAGCTGTCAAAGTCCGTAGACTTGGGAAGGCAGCAAGGCCAAAGGACCAAAAGGACAACCAAAACTTTAGGGGGCTGGGGGAGGATGGGGTCTCAGTATGTTGCTGGTCTCACCCTCGAAGGCTCCAGTGTGGATCCTCCCACCTCAGACTCCCAAGGGGCTGGCTGGGGATGCGCCTCCCCACCTGGCACAAGCTACCTCGAGACAAGCAAAAATGGAAACAGAACAACCTGGAGCTTAATACAGGATGCAGCAACAGTAATCCTGAGAGAACATTAACAGTTGTAAAAATTTTCAGTAAGACAAAAAAAGAAATCTCAAATGAGCCATCTAACTTTATACCTCAAGGAAGTAAAACAAAGTTCAAAGCAACCAGATGGAAGGGAAAAAAAAATGGAGAATAGACCAGAGATAATTTAAAAACAAACCAACCAGAGTTAGTTCTTTGAGAAGGTAAACACAATTGACATTTAGCTGAAGAAAAAAAAAAGTGAAAGAATTCAAATAATATATGTATAAATAATAGAAGAAACAGTTCACCTGGTACCACAAATATGCAAAGGATCGTGAGACTATCAGGGTTGGGGATGTAGTTCAGTGGAAGAATGCTTGCCTGGCATTTGTTATGCCCTGAGTTTGATCTCTAGCACCACAAAAAAAAAAAAAAAAAAGAAAGAAAAGAAACGAAAAGAGAAATACAGCCTATAGTACCTCAAGAACAAAAGAAAATCTGAGTGGACCAATAACAGGTAAGGACATTGAATCTAACTAAAACTCTCCTATCAAAACAAAACAAAAAAACCAAAAAACCAAAACGATGATAACAACGCCAGCAGCCCAGGTCCAGATAGCTCTACTGGAGATTTCTACCAAACTTTTAACATAATACCAATTCTTCTCAAATGCTGAAAAAAAAATAATCAACCTGGGGGACAACACTTCCTAAAAAGATCAGCATTGCTCTAATACCAAACCCAGATAAATACCTCAAGCAAAGAAAACTTCAGGCTAATTCCCTGATGAAAACACTAGCACCAAATTAAAAAGCACACTGAAAGGACCGGTCACCATCAAGAGGCATCTATTCCAGGAATGCAAGAAATGCAAGGATGGTTCAATATATGCAAATCGATAGATGTGATACCTCACATTACCAGAACGCAGGACAAAGCTCACACCATTATCTCACCAGTGTCAGAAAAAACATTCGATGAGATTCAACAGCCTTTCATGGTAAAAATTCTCAAACATTGGGTATAGTACGAATACATCTCAATATAATAAAGATCATATAGGTCAAGTGCACAACTAGCATCCTCAAGATCAAAAAGCTGAAAACTTTTCCTCTAAGGTAATGAACAAGAAAAGGTGTTCACTCTCACTTACCTCCTCAAAACAGTACTGGAAGTCCTAGCCATAGGAATCAGGCTAGAGAAAGAAAGGAAAGCATGCAAATCAGAAAAGAAGAAGTTAAACTCTCTATTTGTAGATTATGTGACTATATATATATATATATAAAATCCTGGTGACTCCAGAAAAAACCAGTAAGAACTAATAAACAAATTCATAAACTTACAGGATACAAAATCAATATATGAAAATCATACACTAGCAATGAAGTATCTGGAAAGGAAATTAAGAAAGCAATCTCTTTTACAATAGCAAAAAAAGAAATTAAAAATAAAACTCTTAAAAATAAGTTAAACCAAAAAATGAAAGATTTGTCCTGAAGTCTATGATTGAAAAAAGAAGCTGAAGAAGACAGAAATAAATAAATAAATAATGCTGCGTTCATGGTTGGAAGAATAAATATTGCTAACATGTCCATACTACCCCAAGTGATCTACAGATTCAAAGCAATCCCAATAAAAATTCCAATGGCATTTTGTAGAAATAGAAAAACAATTCCAAGATTTGTAATGGAAACACAGAAGAGAGCAAAAACCAAAGTAATCTTGAGAAAGAGCCAAGCTGGAGACACCACATCCCCTGATCTCAGACGGTATCACAAAGCTATGGTGATCAAAAAGCATGTTTCTGGCCTAAAACCAGGGACATAGACCAGAGGAACACAGCTGAGAGCCTAGAGATAGTGGCACCAGAGATAGTGCCAGAAATGTGCAGTCAGATAATACTGACAACATTGCCTCAAACACACTTCGGGGAAAGATAATCTGCTCCACAAATGGTGCTGATAAAACCGGATATCCACAGGGGGAAAAAAGAGAGAAAGAAACTGGACTTTTATCTTCTACCACTCACAAAAATTAACTCAAAATGGATTAAAATCATGAATGTAAGACCTGAAGGCACAAGAATCCTAGAAGAAAATATAGAAAAGCAGCTCCTTGGCATGGGTCTTAGCAATGAGATTTTTGGGTAAGACACCAAAAGCATAAGCAACAAAAGAAAAAATAAAGAAAAATTACACCAAACTGGAACCTTCCACACAGCAAAGGAAACAAGATGAAAAAGCAACCTACAGAAAGGGAGAAAGTGTTGCAAACCCTGTGTCTGGTAAAGGGTGAATATTGAAAGTATAGAAGGACCTCATACAATAGAACAATAGAACAAATTATCACATTTGAAAGTTTGCAAAGAACCTGAAGAGGCATTTTCCCAAGAAGATATACAAATGGCCAACAGCTTGACATCGGTAAACAGGGACTCAAACCACAGTGTGGTGCCGCCTCACACCTGTTAGGACCGCTAGTGGCTAGTGTCAAAAAGACAAGAGGTAAGAAGTGTTGGCAAGGATTTGAAGAAGGGGGAGCCCTTGTTCACTGTTGGTGGGAATGTAAATTCATGTAGCCATCATGGAAAGCATGAATGGAGTTTCCCATAAAAATTAGAAATAAAACTACCATATGACTCAGCAACCAACCCATCCATATTTGGATATATATGCAAAGGAAGTCAAATCTGCATGTTAAAGGGATTCCTGGACGCCTATGTTCACTGCAGCATGACTCACAACAGTGACAACATAGGAAGGAAACACCTTAAGTTTCCATTGACAAATGGATTTAAAAAATTTTATATATATATATATATTTGGAAAAAATGTAGATCAAAGGAAATGCAATCAATCCAAAGACATGTAAGAATTAGTGTGAGAGAGGAACAGAAATTCATGTATAAACCAAATAAAAGATAAGAGCAAGAATAAATACAGAGACTACAGTGATCAAAATAATTGTTAGTGGAATAACTTGGTTTGTACAATGCAGAGCTACCTCAGTTGGCTAGGATACACAATTCAGCTATATTCTATTTATAATAGACACACACCCCAAAAAACCAACTCAGGATTAAAAATGAAGAAATTAAAAAAGATATACCAGGCAAATGCAAAGTGAAGGAGGGTTTGCAGCAAAACTAACACCGCAAACACAAAGCATTTAGGTTGAAAGAGTTACGGACACCACAGAAGCTAACTCTGAGTAGAAGTTTCCCACAAAAATTAAAAATAAAACTCTTCCAGATAAAGTAGCAGAAATCATGATCTGTAAGAAACTGATTAAGAATATTGAAAGGAAATTCTAACAGTGGTGCAGGAAGAGTCAAAAACTCACAATTGCAGTATAAAAGGTTAACACGGAGTTGTTAGAAATTGGCCAACCTAGTGAGCTAAAATCAAATCAAATCAAGAAAGATTTGAAAATAATCATGAGCACTCTGGATTAAATAGATGGGTACGACAGAGCTCACAATATGTTGAAGCACATTTAAAAATATCTGACATCTTTCAGATGTCAAAAGGGGCTTCCCCTACTTCCTCCACAAGTTCCATAATTAGGCAGATGAACAGGATTTAACAACAACAAACTTATTACGTATTTAACACAGAGCCACACGCATTCGGAATGAGACTCAGAGAAGGTCAAGAAGGTTGAACCTTACAAAGAGCTGCACAGGAGGACAGGCGCTCAGGCCTCTGGGAGAGGGGGAACAACCCATGGAGAGTTGAGGGAAGGATCCTGTTATACAAATAAATTCTCCCAGGCAACAGCCACCTGTGCTCATCTCTGCTGGGCCAGGCGTCAGACCCCCAATCTCTCCTTCCTGGGAAAAGATCTTTCTGGGCAGAAAGGGGGACATCAGATGGAGGAGCCCAGAACTGCATCTGCTGTTTATTGGTGCAGATGGGGGTCAGTTCCATTATATAAAAGAGAGAAGTTTTGGAGGAGTACCTGTGTCTGCAGTGTCTCTGAATAAGCAACTTGAAATAGGACAAATAAGTACATTTCAGGGTGTCATACCATGGGGTTCCACAGAGTGCTCACTCTGCTTTACCCCACTCTTCTCAGTGCTTGATACATGGTTTATCTCATTTCTCCCCCATACTTCCTTTATGAAATGGGTACCACTCTTTTGTATTGCTGGAAATTGACCCCAGGGCCTTGCACATGCTCACCACGTGCTCTACCACTGTCACCCCCAGTTTACAGGTATGACCCAGGCTGGCCCGGCTCCACATCTGGGAGGTGGCAGAGCTAGGACTCAGATGTCCTACTTGGCCAACTCTCTACCACCTCCTCCCTGTCTCCTGTCTGGCATTATTTGCCATGCTGTTAATCATTACACTATATACCTTTCAAACACGGAGAAGCCTCAACAATGACCATCCATCAGGCCACAAAAGAAATAGGAATAGACCTTCAAAACCAGAAATCCTAAGGAACACATTTTCTAACCACAGTGTGATAAATAATGAAAAGTCAAAAGGAGAACTCGAAGAGGCATTAAAGTTTCCTTCCAAACATTTCTTAGGCTAAAGAACAAATCAAACAAGAAATAACAACTGGTCAAGAAATTAACGCCAATGAAGGCAGTGCATATAAATCAGACATTTCCAAAGTGGCACAGAGATGAACACTCATAGCCTAAAATGTGTGCTTTAGAAAACAAGGTACATTTACAAGAAAATTAAGTTTTCAACGAAGTCATTAATAGGAAATAAAAACAAGGTAATCTTCCAACAAGTCTGAAGTAAGGAATTAGGAAAGAAAATAAGTAGAGAAATATAATAATGAAAAGCATAATTTAATTAAATCTCAAACAAACAAAGAGTAGTAAATCTATAAAAACAAAATGTGGCTCATTGAAAAGACCCACCAAATGGCAAGACTGGTCAAGAGAACAAAAGAAAAGATAAACCGTGGTAAGAATAAGGAAGAGGATTTTTCTCCAGAGAAGGGCAAGATCAAAACATTTTGAAAGAAATTCTTTACAGGGCTGGGACTGTAGCTCAGTGGCAGAGCGCTGGCCTAGCATGCATGAGGCGCTGGGTTTGATCCTCAGCACCACATAAAAATAAACAAAATAAAGACATTCTGTCCATTTACAACTACAAAAAAAATTTTAAAAAGGAATTATTTTACAACTTCCTACCAAGAAGTATGACAATCTAGGAAAAATGTCACCTTTGAGGAAAATGAAAACAGATCTAAGAATCAACCCTGGAAGTAAATATAATTAAAAACAAAAGAGGAAATGCATAAAATACTTCCAAACCTGTCTGATCCTGACCTCTCCTCACACCACACAGTTTCCCACAATTTTAGGGACAATTGCCAGCACCCCAGCATGTCTGAATTGAATAAATCATTCTAAACCTTTTAAAATTTTTTCAGATGGCCCCAAATCATTTCATGAAGCGACTTTAGTTCTGCTATCAAAACCAGACAAATAAAAAATAAGAAGCAAAATTTTTAATCCCAAGCTACTAAGAAATACATCTGGTTAAATCCCACAACAAAGTAACCATAAATCCAATTCAGGAATGGGTAAAAAATGTAGTGTGATGTGACCAAGTATGTATTCGCTCAGGAATTATGAGACAGGTCACATTTGAAATCCTGTCCATGCTTTCGGATAAGACTGGCAGATTAAACACAACTATATTTACCAGATACAACCTAGAAACTCAGAGAGATCCTTAACTTAGAGAGATCCTGTCTCAAAAAACAAAACCAAAAACAAACAAACAAACAAAAAAAAAACTCAAATAAAAATGGCTGGGGGTACAGCTCAATAGTGGAGCACCCCTGGGTTCAATTCCAATGACCCCAATTCTACACAAATAGAAAGAAAGAAAATGTAGTGTCTATACACACAATGGAATATTACTTAGTTTTTTAAAGAAAGAAATTGCATCATTTGCAACAGCATAGATGAAGCAAAAGGATATTGTTTTAAGTGAAATAAGTCAGGTACAGAAAGAAAAATACTGTATGATCTCACTTATGCATGTGTGGAAACTAAAGTGGGTCTCAAAGAAGCAAAGTAGTGAAAGCTGCCAGATGCTAAGGGCTGGCAGGGGGTAGGAAAGAGGGAACATGGATCAAAAGGTACTAAGTTTGAAAAATAAGTTCTGATGAGCTTTTGTACAGTATGGGAATTATAGTGAATAAAAATGTATTGTT